TTTTTCATCATGATACATCTTAGTTACAACATCCTTTGTCCTGTCATTTACTGGCTCAGTTTTTCATCATGATACATCTTAGTTACAACATCCTTTGTCCTGTCATTTACTGGCTCAGTTTTTCATCATGATACATCTTAGTTACAACATCCTTTGTCCTGTCATTTACTGGCTCAGTTTTTCATCATGACACATCTTAGTTACAACATCCTTTGTGCTGTCATTTACTGGCTCAGTTTTCATCATGATGACTGATAACAATACATTTCTCGAAGAAGAGAGGAGTGGCCATCACGCTCACCGATCACACCAAGCATAATCTGACAATAAAGATGCTATAGATATGATGTCTTACCATCTTACCAATTCTAATTTGAAGCAGACATCATTGTCGGGTTACCACTTCTAGTTGCAATGATTGAAATGAAACGTTAAAACCTAGGACCTTATTTTACACTTTCATTATTTGTTTTAGAGCAAAGCCGCAGTTGGCATTCTGCTGTGTCCACCATGTGGAATATGACCCCGGATTTTAGTATTGTAAGTTTATCGCTACCCCACCAGAGGACAGGCTTGTAACAACTAAAACACGATAAGTTATTGTTTCATTGTTTTGTAGGTAAAGAGAAACAGACTTGATTTTTATTCGCTAAATCCTTTATGTTCTTCAACTAACATGAATTTTGTAAGTTATCGCCCAGACTTTGTGCATCTGTATTGAACTTGTCATTCGATAAAGCATATTTTACATTAGTCTTACAACGTTCTACATTCAGGCCAAACCAGACGATACATTGGATCTTTGTCGGCTACTCAATGATCATATAGCAAGCGTTGTCATGGAGAATCCCCATCGTTTTGTTGGCATGGCAACCTTACCACTTCAAGCTCCTCAACTAGCAGTAGAAGAGATGAGGCGTTGTGTGACACAGTTAGGTATGAGGTCGGTAATGGTCGGGTCACATGTTAATGATTGGAATCTCGACAACAAAAGTCTGGACCCTGTTTACAAGGTACGTGATTCGAATATTGTTTACAAGGTACGTGGTTCGATTATTGTTTACAATGTACGTGATTCGAATATTGTTTACAAGGTACGTGGTTCGATTATTGTTTACAATGTACGTGATTCGATTATTGTTTACAAGGTACGTGATTCGATTAATGTTTACAATGTACGTGGTTCGAATATTGTTTACAAGGTACGTGATTCGAATATTGTTTACAAGGTATGTGGTTCGATTATTGTTTACAAGGTACGTGATTCGAATATTGTTTACAAGGTACGTGGTTCGATTATTG